AATAAATTTTCTTTTTATACATGTTTGTTTCCTTTTACACAATTTTAAAACAAAGGTTAAATTTTTTTGGAACAGCACCCCCACTAATTTTAGCCACGAGCCGCCACTGTTAAGGGGTATATTAAAGAGAAAACATTTGAAACTGCTAGCCCAGATGCATAGAGCTATTGCCCAGACACCTGCAAAGCAGGTTGCTAATGTTGAATTTCCAGACAAAGACATTTCAGTATTTGGTGGAATAAATATGGATATGCAAAATGTGCCCCATCCTGAATATCTCGAATTCAAGGTGGTCTTTAGACATTCAGCTAAACCATATTTTGTTGCTTAACTACTTTTTTTTTTTTTTTTCAATATACATTAAAACTAGTTATGAGTTTTCCTCAGTAAAAACATGTATGCAGTGCAGATAGGAGATCTCTGGCAGTAAACAAAAGTAATATAGAATAAGAGAAAATGAATGTGAGATCAACTCTGGATATTTCCAACAGTTAGATGTCATTTATTCTTCTGCTTTGTTTCTGTGCCTCTGTCAGTATGTGAAGGATAATTTTTGCATTTACTTTCTTTTTTTTTAGTTCATTATGCAACTGTTAAATGGCATCTATTTATTTTCAGATTTATTATGCTTGATAGAACAGTAACGCACCAGTCTCCTTGAAGTAAATTTTCGTGTATTTTAAAATTTTTATCCATGTGTACTGTTGAAAACCAACCCAATTCTAAAAATGTAGATTATTTTATGTTATATATTCAAAGTAATTTCTTTATGTGTAGTTTCTTTTTTCCCTTGATGAGAAATAAGTATTATTTCTGACTGCTTTTTAAAACTACAATTATATCCCTGCATTCATAATTTACTGCAGGCTGGAAAAATATTTTTGTTGAATTAAATATGTAAATGTTTTATAAGCTACAAAATACATGCCAGTGTAACTCCAGGTAAAACAGCTGTCTAAAGCACCCAATGCTATTTTTCTATAGCAGCTTTAATCTTGAGCACAAGTATGTATGGTTTGAGTTAATATGACTACTAATTCAGTATATAATGGAACATTTCATAAAGCTGTTCATGATACTGTACAATAAAATATTTTTATTACTGTACTGTCTGTTGGTTTGGTTTCTTTGATTATGGCAAAGTACTTGAAGGCTGTATGACCTTCGTGAATAGATGGCCTGGTCAGCTTCAAAGTCACGTGATTTGACGTCATGAAAGGCATCTAAACTTTCACCCTTCGCGCTTCTCTGTGGACACTGTAAGCGAAGAATTCCTATGTTAGCTTGTGTGCTGTTCATTAACGTTGCACTGTGTTTTTTTCATTATTCATGTATTTTTTATTACTAAATTTGAGTTAATTTAAGTAAAGCAGTTATGCTGTTTTGGTTTTTAAGTTCACACTGGTAGTTAAGTCTTACTTATTTTTTTAGTATTTGTTAATAAATATAGCTATCGACTTCTTTGTAGAGCTAAAATGAGTTAAGTCTACTTTCATGCCTGCACGATGTTGTGTTTCAGTCTGCAAATCAAATTACGTTAAAACCATTGGATATATACAGATATTCAAGTTTCCAAAAGATACATTAAAACGGGATTTCTAGATTAAAAAAAAATTCCGAGTGAGCGTTTTATGTGAGAAATATTTTTGGGAAGATGATATCATTCGGTACAATTATTTATCAAAAGATGAAGGCATTGTTGTTTAAGTTTGTAAAGGACACCCTAAATTATAAACGATGCTTATCCATGCATTTTTTCTGATTGTCCAAAATGCTTATCTGACAATCTGACATCTCCAAGGATGAGCACAGAGGAAAAAGAGCCAATATGGATAACATATTTTTAATCAATTTTTGAAAAGGACAAAATTGCATCTTTTGAGGATTTTTCTTCTTCATTATTGAATAAGCTAAACATTTCAGATGATTCAGATTTAATTTGACATAAAATCTGCTGATGGAAATTATATTTTATTGCTCAGTTTTAATCTACAGCCTAAAGTTTGGAAATGTATCTAACTATCATTTCATGTGAATACAGCAGTGTCTCTTGGACAAGAAGCTGTTGAAATGGGAGTATGTAAAAAATATATTAAATGGAAATACTAAACTTACTTTATGGACTGAATTTGAAAACATTTATAGCTATGTCAAAAGCATAGTAATTAAAAACATTGAAATTGAACTGTGACTTACCACTATATAACTAGGAAGCATAATACGTTGAATAAAAATCATTTGAAAATCTTACTTGAGGAATAGAACATTTTATTTTGGAACAAATTAAGATGTGTAATAAAAATAAAATGGCTAGAAGGTACTAGTCTTTTCTTATTCGTTGTACATTATCCCACCAGCCACAGAGCGGTAAAATTGCTGAACACTGGTAGTTCCGACCTGGATTCAAATCCGGGTGAAGGGGCTGGCTGCAAGGGCATTTTCGTGATTTTCCCAATGTATAACGTGCATATTTAAAACCTTTATAAACCAGTTAAATAATAATATAATTTAAAACCAGTTTGCCTTAGAAAGTCCCCCGTGAAGGCATACCTCAGGCAAATACCCTAGTGTCTTTTGCTATAATAAACTAAATCAAGTCAAACCAAATCGTTATACATTAAGTAAGCTGCTTGTTATAGTTGCCTCTATGAATGTCAACTCATCTGCCTTCCATGCATTGACCATTTCTGAAAAATCCTAGGCCTGTTAAAGCTTAATGTATCAACAAACAATGAATCTAATTACAAGTATGCAAAAGGTAAAGTAAAAAATTACTGGGACATTAGCAATTCATGAATTTATATATTGATTAGGTTCGAGTGAAAAAGGTGACATAGAAAGGTAAAAAAAAAATAATAATTGACTTTCCTAAGAATCTTGAAAGTATTGAAGCATCATCTCTTTTATGATTTCTTCTTTATTATCATATTATAAAGATATCATTACATTAGTAATAATTCGCGTGCTGTAATGCAGCACAAAATTACACTTTATTTAATTTATGGTGGCAAATCCCAAGAGGATTTAAGGAAATTTTAATTTTTCTGCGACTTTTGATCTCTATTTCTTTTTGTTAGATAATTACTAAAAGGAATAAAAAATACATTTTGCATACTTTTTAAAAGCTCTGAAGTATTTATAGTTTTAAACCATTGGTTACTGATTGTTCATTCAAGTCTTAAAATTAAAAACAGCAGTAATTATTAATAAATAATTATATTGTGATAAGGTAATAAAAAATCGTTTTTATGTCTTTTAATTGGTTAAATAGAGTTTATATTTTGTAGATTAATAATTTATACTTTGAAATCCTTTCATTCCTTTCCTTCCATTTTTCTTCACATCTATGAAAATAAACCTTCCATGCATCAGTGAAATCAACAGTAAATTTTGTAAATATATTTTTCAGAGTATTTAGTGGAAGTAAGAACAATCAAACTGTAAAGATTTATTTATGTTAATAAATAGCAATCTTTATTTATTTTAAAACTTCGTTTTTCAGCAAATCTTAAAATGTCATTACTATGCAGTATAAAAATATCGTAAAACATTGGCTAGAAAATTTCATGAATATTTCTTAAAATAATACCTCTGAAGCTATCAATCTTAACTATAAATGTATAAACGACCTTTTATATATGTTTATCTGTAAATCTCTGAAAATCTAATTACTATGCATTATTTAAAACAAAAGAATCTAAACATTTAACAAAATGTGCATATTCAAAGCCGAAGCAAAGTCGCGAAGGACTCGAGATGCCTTCTGTGACGTCACTCGTAGCTAATCAGGCCATGTTATATCCAGTTGGCTGTGAAGGCTGTCTGCCTAAGGAGGAAGGGATGCCTCTGTGGAAGATTTTCAAAAGGAAACTGGCTCATATACACATTGCACATGGGGAAAACCATGTAAATGCCCATGCAGCATAAAAAAACCATATAGTACTGTAATTGTTCAATTCAATGTATGGTGCACTTTATTATTTAATATATTAACGACATACTGTATGTAATTTGTCATTTAAATATTGATCATTGTATTTATGTGTGTTATATTAATAGCATATTGTAAATTATGTTGCTTTTATCCACAAGTTTGCTTAACTCTTGAAACATAACTACAGATATAGGAGTAGGGGTGGACATAAGAAAATGTCAACTGCAAATTGAAACTGATTTTCCAAAAATATTGTTTATTTTGCTGGAAAGTAACAGGGATACTTTGTCTTTGAAAAATTAACTGAATATTTTTGTTTTTTGAATAAAAAGTTTTATTTCAGTATCCCTTCAAATGCAGTTTTTCTGCAACGTAACATAGACTAAGGTTATTTTTTGTCTATGTTTAAATTTAAAACTGGTATGTTTATCTTCAATTTATTTGTTGTTAATGAGATATTGAATGCTAAAAATTTAATTAAAGCTTCATTTTTAATTTTTTGTAGAATTAAAATCTTTTCTACTGAATTCAACCTAGAAATTTAATATTTGTTTCATGTTTAATTGTAATATAAGGTAGCTACCACATTAAACATTTTTACAGTTGTATTTTTTAATTTCATTAATTTTTAAGAGTTTAGAGATCTGAAATTTTCTGTACTGCTTTATTATTATGGCTTTCATCATTTGATGGCAAAAGCCTCCTTGTAAATGAACTGCATGAAAGCAACAATTTTATTTAGATTTCTTCTTATGACGGGCAGACTATAAGTGACTTTGGTTAGGATTACTGCCATTTTTGTGATGATCTGCTGAGAATTCTGAGTAGGGTTACTGCTTTAGCAAAGTCAAGTAACAAGAGGACTATTGGGGCTGTTTAAATTGCAGAGGATGTAATAATAAGGCCATTTTAATTTTTATTTGCATTTAAACTATGGTATAAAGCTATATTTCATAATAATGGCCAATTTATATTAATTCCTCACTAAATTATATTTCTTTAGTAAAGAATTTACATGTAAATATGTCTGCACTAGTAATATTTATGCAAGTTTTTTTGTTTCTAGTGTGCTTGCATAGGTGGTAGTGCTGATTTGCTTGCTTATATGCTAACTAAGGGTAAATTAAATCTCTTTATTTATGTCTTGTAATTATTAAAATATAATTGCAGTTATATATTCATTTGTAATATTTTGTTCTAGGAGCAGATGTTCAAAGCCTTTCTAATTTTGGTGATTCTGGATTTTATCTTGCAGTCTATGAGTATTTAAATTCAAAAGTTCTTGATCTAAAGGTTTTGAATCTTCTTCTAGATGCAGGTAATAGTTTTATTTTCTGTATGAATTTTTACTAAAGTTTAAAGCTTAAATTATTAAATGCTAGACATTTAGAATTAAATATATTTCATGTGAAGAGAAGTGTATTTTCCCCCCTATTACTCTTAACTGGTAAATCTTTCAAAAAAAATATTCTTATTTTTATGATCAACATATATCTCAAAAAGGATTTTAAATAGGAAAGAATGAAACTTATCTCATCGTCATAAAATTTTATTACTGTACCATACTTAAAAAACTATTTTTTTTTTTTTTTTTTTTATAAAATTTTGTACAATGCTACTTAGTTGAATTTTACGTCAACTGAAAATATGACTTGAGACTTATATTGCCTTTGCGGTCTATCTTTCTTCTATTTTACGAGTAGAAAAATATCAGAAATTTTTGTTGATTATGTACATTGCTAGTGGGCTGAATTACAGTTTACCAAGTAACAGAAGAAATCCTAGCCTCATTAGCTGAAGAAACTAGCTTTAAAAATGAAGATGACACATTTGAAAGTGAATTTGTAGTTGTTTCCTCGAGTGAATACAGGCAGGAAGGGACAATGTCTCAATTATATATAAGATGATTATAAGGGAAATTCAGAGTATTCTAGCTTAATATAAAAAATAATTAAAATGAATCAAAATATAGCTTGCAGTGTGTTCAAAATGAAATTAATCAGGTGAAAAATTTATATCATTTTTATTTTATAAAAAAGGGCATAAGTTTTAAAGATAATGATTAGTATTCATGTTTACCCACGAGGAAAACCACAAAAACTTCCATATCGTCACTCTGTTTACCAAATTGAAATTAAGTCGAACTAGCTGTATTCAGTGGCTGTACCTCTAGCTTCCCAACTGCCTTGCACTTTTGAATCTTTTGTAATCAGATTCAGTTTGCTAATTGCAACTGGTTCAAAAACAGGTTGTTATTTTAATAATTTTTATTGCACTTGATCTGCATCATAAATTCATAATTAGCTGCTGATTATCATATAAGTGTATGCTACTTGCCTAAGACAAAAAAAAAAATAATAATAATAATAATATGTGTACAACCACATGACTTTCTTGTATGGAATGTTAAATTATACGCATTTTTTTCCTGCATTTCATTTAAACTTATTTCCTCAAATTTCTCTTTCAGTTCAGTTCTCATTTCACGGCAGGGAAAAAATACATGAAAACTCAAAATATCTTCATTAAAAATTGAAAGACATGGAAAAACATAAAACAGAAATACAATTTAAAACAATAAAAAAAATTTACAATTAAAATTGCACTTCCTATGGAAAAACAAGCAATACAGCCAGCAGGCAAGAAGGCAGATTTTTTGGTGCATAAAACTAAAAGTTTCCTTTTGGTCCCAGTCAGAAAAAAGGCAATGAAAGGGCAGAAACTTACTTCATTCACTATTCTGCTGAGTTTCAAATGTAAACAAATATGGCTGCTATGGTAAAAAAAATTAGGCTTAGCCACACTTAAACAACTTTTAAATTGTTGATAATTCTGCAACTATTGCATGCAGATTAACTAAAGGCATAAAAACTTTAACTGGAAGATAAGAATAACATAATTTAATCATTTCTAAAGCAAGAATTTAACAATTTACCAATATAACAATTAAAAAAACTGAGCTCACTGAGCTGAGTAACAAAACAGGTATATATATCTTATATATATGTGTGTGTGTATATATATATATATATATATACATATTACTGTTATATATGTGTGCATATATATACATACATATATATAATTAACCTTTAAGTACAGACGTTCGTTTTCTGTTACATAAACACAGAGGAGGGGTCTCTCAGACTGTGCTCTATTTTATGCATTTAAAAAATATAAAATTTTAAAATAATATACTTTGTTATTATATAAGCATTAATACACTTTTCTTGTCATATTGTAGTAATTAATTCTTTTTAAAACTCTAAAATTAATGCATTGAAATTTAATTTTTAAATCACATACGAAAAAATACGAAACACTTAATCAAATCAATAAAATAAACACTACTTATTTGCAAATGCAATACAAACAAAACTATTTAATAAATTTTCTATCTACAGAATCTGGATTATATAAAATAATGCAAAAACAATATAATATATAAAGAATATTAAAAAACTGCAGCACATTATTTCAAGCATTTTCAACGCATTTTTTGCGAATTCTCTTAGCACATTCATTACACATTGGATTCTTGCAGCTGAAACATAGATAGGTAGTTTTTCTTCTCAGTCTAAGGGGACAAAGAAAGCATATTTTATGCTTTTTAGGGGTATCAGTTACATCTGGACTAGAATAGATTCCACTGGAAACTCCTAGTACTCTTGAATGCACATTTTTACTTCTCAGTTCACAGTTGGCTTTTCAAACCTTGTTCTATACGTGGTTTCACTAATTCTAATGATAACTTTTTTTTTTTTTTTTTAATTTGGCACTGTCTCTTAATGATTTATGTATTACATGTGCATTAATTCCACTTTGATCAAGTAACCTAAAGAATATGGCCATCGTCTTGTTCTTCGGCTTGTAGAATGTCTAGAACATTTTTCATCCAATGCATGTACACCTCCTTTAGTCAAACTGTGAAATGTTTTAATTTCTGGTTTCCCAGTTTCAAGGTCTTCTGATTTCGAATGATGCATTGAAGAAATGAGAATAACACTTTCTTAATTTCTGAGGCACCTATAAAACGAGAGTCATTCTATCTGTGAATGCATAAATGGAAGATCCTTCACTTTTCGTTTTATTTGGAAAAAATTCACCTGGTATTTCTCTCTTATTTTATTATTTTATTTACTTATTTATTTATTTTTTTTTTCCATAGTACCGACATATGTCAAACCTCTAGAGTTAAGTTCTCGTACAAGTTCAACACAACCATCCCCCCTCATGCGAGAGAAAAGTAACATAAACCCAGAGGTGAAGTATCGCTATATGATCACGGCCCAATTAAAAAAAAAAAAAAAAAAAAGAATAGAGTTTAATAAAAATTTAGGAATAGTTATATTTATGTCAACTTGATAGTACTGAAAAGGAAAAGAATAACTATATAACTTATAAGCAGTTTCACATTTCTAAAATATTGGCGCGGTCATACAGACCCCAAATCTGTGTTTAAGGTTTAAAGGCATAAAGTAAGAAATTTAGAACTAATTTTTCACAAAGACCAAAAATTGAAATTCATGATTAACAAATTTCGAATAATCTTATAAATGCAACAAAGAATTTTAATAAGTTAAAACCAAAACTTTTTAAACAAGCAAAACCCTATTTAAAAAAATTAATGAAATTTAAAGAAAAATGAACAAAAACCAAAGAGGAATTCAGTCAACTTCAATTATATTTCTTCAGGGGGGGGATATTGAAATCTCCCTTCTACAAAAATCCTTTCTTTTCCGTATCCAGAATTAGCCGATGAACCATTTCAATGTATTTTAATTTTAATAATTCACCCAAAAATTCTGGCCCTTCCCCAGAGCAAGGAAGAAGAAAGTAAATTCTAATTAGAATAACCTTAAATAAAGAGAATTCTATTCTATTAAAAGAATTGAAAACGAAAGTGAATAAACAAAATACTTCAGTGAAAAATTTAAATCCAAAGTTTTACCTTTAAACAGATAATCCAAAGACTAAAACATGAGTGAAACTAAAAAATATAGCCGAAAAAAACCTAATTAAAACACACAAGAAGTAATTAAGAACTTCAAGCACTTTCATTAGACACCAATCTAAACTATGAGCTGCGTAACAATAGGGACATACAGGTTTGCCATTTTGGCTTCATTGGCCAAACTAAAAAACCTTGGCGGGAAAGTAATTGCTCAAAAGGCTAAAATCTGGAACGAAAGCTGTAACTTTTTAAACCAAAAGAAAAGCTTTAAATGCTTCAATGAAAATAAATTTTTATTTTAGTCAAAGAAAAAGATTGCATATTATTTGAATGAAATTAAGTAAATTCAGATTTTTTTAAACAAAATGGGAATAAATTATTTAGTGAAAAACTTAAATTTTAAAATCAATTAATCCTTAAGAAATATAGACTCAATAAGTTGCCCAAAAAGTGAACAAAAAGTTTTAAATAATTGTTTTGTAGATATGAGTAAAAAAATCTATAAAGTTGAATTTTAGTTTTTTTAATTTTGCAACGTAAAATTGCATAAAAAGGTTGAAAAAAGAAGTAAAGGAACTACTTTTCTAACAAAGTAAAAAGTCTTAAAGTCATGGGCTTATCATGACGACTTTGAGTATATATAGGGCCATGGTTAGTAGCAGGATAATAATTAAAAAAAAAAAAAAAACTATATAACCTTTAAAACTTCCTTCATTATTCTTCTCTGTTGGAGCTTTCAGACAAAAAATTCAGAATTTTAAAAAGTATTATACGGTGTAGTCTTTTTTTTTTTTTTTTTTTTTTTTTTTTTTTTTTTTTTGGTAGACCAGACTTTTTTAATAAAGGAATTTCATTATCTTTTAAAATTTTGGGGAGAATTAGAATTTCTTCTTTTGGTGCAAACTTTTTTAATTCTACTAATTTGGTTAAAAACAGTATTTATAATAACTTTTTAAAATATGTTAGAATTCCAATTTATAACAGGTGCTCGAGAAAAAACAATTTAGCAATTAACATTTTTAACAATTTAGCATATTTATCAAGCATAATTAACTTTCCAAATAATTATAATGCTATTGCATGCTTTCAGGACTGGATATTTTTTTAGCTTTTCCTATGCTGTAAGGAAATTTGTAACTACTTCTTTCAGAAAATAATATTTTAAAACTGAACTAATAGAAAATTTCAAACAAGCAATTTTCTCTTGCAATTTTTATGCTTTTTATTGGTGTAAATAAGTAAAAAATATTAAAATATTTAAAAACGAATTTTTGAAAGTTTTGTTTAAAATTCTAAATTGTGCTGCTTTTTTAAATTATAGATGAGTATTATAGCACAATTTCTATAAAGGAATTTTATTTCAA